AGGCTTTGGATGAAGGGTCTGAGCGGAGGATTGTCCCCATGCTGGTCACGGCTCTGGATCATGTGGAAGTCCCAGTGGAGGGAGAAATGGGTGTCTGCCACAGAATTTTGCAGAGCATTGATGCTGCTTACATGGCTTTTTCATTTTTGGAGCAAACAACTCTGTGCTAGGGGCTGTTGATTCAGAGATGGAGGAGCCAACAGACCCGCAGAGGGATCAAGGGGCACACAACGGGCTGAGGAGAAAGCAGTGCTTCCTGTGTGTGGAAAGTTCATGCCATTTCCTTCTAAGGGGCCGTCACCTGGGGAGCTGGTGACCACAGGTCTGCCTGCCCCTTTCTGTGGGACTGAAGACTCCAGATGTGACACCTGGGAGCACTCCAGGGAAGTGACAAAAGACAGGAGGCACTCATGCTTGTGAATCCTGCCAACTCAGTGAAGGTCTGGGGCCTCAGTTTCCCCATCTGTAAATAACAGTGCCACCGGCTGCTGGCTGCCCTCTAGCACAGGAGGCTGAGATCTCCCTGCCCCACTTCTCAGGGTGGTAGCAATTCTGGCTGTCATCTGCAGTGCACAGCTGGGGTGGGGAGTGGGGGGGGGGTGGCAGGCTTGAGGTCCGGTCAGTCCTGTCCCGGATGTCAGCTCGGTGGCTCTTTAGAAATAATCCCAAAAAATAAGTCGGGAAAAGAGAGGAGGGACAACCGCCCAGGGGCTTGGCCTTTGCAGCTTGCTCAGGTGTGTCTTCTCCCAGAGCAGGGGTGCTCAGCACTGAAAAGGCCCCAGGAGGGAAGCTGGGGCACCGGCCTGGCGCCGGGCATCCGGCCTTCTGTGGGGTGACCATCACCTCTCCTGCTGTGGCCAGGAGCAGGACTGCATGGGCCAGCACCTCCAGCGTCCATGGTGAGGTGAGGAGGGGCTGCGAAGAGGCAACCAGACCCTGAGGGGCAAGGCCTTACGGAAGAGCCACACGTCGGGAAGGTCAGAGGCGGAGACATCTACTGGGGTCCCTCGAGAGCGAGGCAGGCAGAGTCCAGGCCTGGGCACGGGAGACGCGAGGTGTGGCGGGAGTCCGTCAGGGCAGCCGCCACGCCCTGGGCTGGGCGTCGCGGGCGTCTCGGGGTTCCCAGGGCGCTGGCCCGCGGCTAGAGGCGAGGGCGTCGCCCGGAGGCGGCGGGCGCGGGGCCTTTGGGGGGCGCCTGGGTCCCCGCCCCCGCCGGCCGCGCCGGGTCGCGCGTGGGCGCGGCGGGCGCCGATTGGCTGGCGGGCGCGCGGGCGGGGCGGGCGGCGGCGGCGCGGAGGGGCCGGTCACCCCGCAGCCTGGCCTCGGCCTCCGCCGCTCGTTGCCGCGCCCCGCCCGCGCGCCCGCCGCCGCCCGTCCCCCCCGCCGGCGGCCACCATGAGCACAGGCCTGCGGTACAAGAGCAAGCTGGCGACCCCAGGTGAGCCCGGCGCCTGCCCGCGCGCTCGCGCGCGCCTTTGTCCCCGCCGCCCGCCCGCCTCTCACCGTGTCTTTCCGTCTCTCCCCCGCCCGCCGGCCCGGACCCGGACCCCGACCCGACCCCAACTCCGCAGAGGACAAGCAGGTACGCGCGCGCCGCCGCTCCCCCGGCCAGCTGTCACCCATTGTGCCACCAACGCCGCTGGCGCCTAGGCGCGACCCCGCCCCCGCCGGCCGTCATCCCGCCTTGTGGCGATAACCGATTGTCAGCTGGGGCAGTGCCGCCGGCCAAGGGCTACAGAGGGGAAGAGTGGGCACTGGGCGCCTGGGGGCTTGGCTCCTGACCCTTAGAGCAGAGGCGCCCCTCCCAGGATGGGGGGATGGGCCTGGTGTCTCCCAGTGGTCCAGCACCAGCATATCCTCCCTGAACTGGCCTTAGGCCTCGTGCTGGGGGTCCTGAGTGAGGCTACCGTCACTGCAGGCCACAGGCTAGGGGAGGGGTCTGTATCCAACAGCCAGCACCTAGACCCTAAGCAGCCCCACCCCACTCCTGTGCATCTTATGTCTCTTCTCCCCACACACCAATTTGAGTGGGCTGATCTGTGGCCAGGCCTCTTCCCCAGACTAGGAGCCTCCAAGGCCTGGTCTGAGTCATCTCTGTGCCTAGTATGGGTCTTCCAACCTAGTGGGTACAAATAGGCTTGTAGCCTCCCAAAGGGGCTGGCCTGGCCCCCACTCAGGGAATGCAGGACCTGACAGGAGGCTGACCTGGGCACCCACTGTGAAACCCAACTGAGGCTGGGGTTAAACAGAGCTGGAAGACTCTGAGAGTGGGGTGGGGGTGGGTAACCAGATGGGCAGGGGGCTCCGGGGCAGCCCTGCTGGGGACTTCTCTGGCTTGAGCTCAGTCATTTTGGGGGGATTTTATTGGCCTGACTCTGGCACCAACGTGGCCTTGGCACCCCTCGTCAGGGATAGGAATTCACACAGTGGATAGAACCCCGAAGTCCTGGCCCAGGGTGCGGCCCAGCAGGTGGGGTGGGGGCTGGGAGTCACTGGCTGCCAGGTGCCAGTCTCCTGGCAGGGACGCGCCCCACCCTGGGACAGGTGAGGTTCTTGGGGAGGGGCCCCTCAGCCTCAACCTGCTGGCAAGGGCCTCTCCAGGGAGCCCGGGCCAGGAGCTGTCTTCCTATCAAGGCAGGTCAGACAATGCCTGAGATACAGGGACACATGCTGCCAGGCTATTGTTTGAGGGAGAGACAGAAGAGAGGCCCGGGAGACCAGCCCCCACAGCTTCTCCCGGGGCTTCGGGCACTTGGGGTTCCTGCCCAGCACCAACAGGACCTTCCTCCTGCCGAGGTGTGAGCACCTTCAGGCCTGTGTCTGCCCGTCCTTCAAGGTCAGTTAGGTGCCAGCCTCACCCGTCCCCTGCCCCTCGGACCAGAGGGAGAAGGCACCATGCAGGTGGGAAGGGGAGCCCCAGGAACAAAGCCGGGGAGCCCCAGGAACAAAGCCAGGGAGCCAGGTCTTTGGACCAGACTCCCCGAGGATCTGGGGGGAGCTAGAAGAAAGTGGTAGCTTCACTGTTAGCATTGTTCAGTGTTAGTGAGCTTTGGTCTATCCACACTGTGAAAGAGGGTGGGGAGAGCTCTGGTAGCCCTCCATGCCCCCACCTTGTCTCAGGCAGTGATGGGGGCTCTGGTGGCTGCTTCCAGAGCTGACTCCAGTGATTCTAAGAATGGAAATGCCTCGAGAGTCTCAGGCACCGGGAGGAGGTGGGCGCAGCTGTGTCTACAGCTCGGGAAGCCCTGAGGAATATTTGTTGTATACTTCATGGGCCAGAGAGCGGGGGTGGCAGGGCCCCTCCCCCAGAGCTCCCCCAGGGAATCCACAGGCCCTGTTGGGGTGAGTTTGGGTGCAGGGGCAGGAGCTGGGAGTGAGACTCTTGCCCTTGTGACATGGACCCTCCTGACTCTTGCCCTCCTGACCTAGGCCTCCCCAGAGGCTGTGCCTCATCAGTAGGGAAATTGAGGAAGTCTGGGAGTGACAAGCTCCATTAGACACCCGGCTGTGAAGTGCTGAGGTCTAGACCCAGGTGTGTCTGTCTTGTAGATGCCCTGAGCCTGAGATGCCAGCCTGTCCGGGGGTGGGGGGCCTAGGCTGAGGGGCGGTATCTATAGCAGACCTGCGGGTGGGGGCTGGGTGGGACTTGGCCCAGACGCCTACTACAGGTCCACATGGCAGAGGGCTGGGGCCAGTGTGGAGGCTTTCTCAGGGCAAGGACTGAGGGCCCAGCTGGGAGAGCTGAGGGAGGTGCCCTGTGGCTTCCCCCTGCTCTCCTCTGCATGAAAGGCTCTCCTGTTCCCAGCTCTGGGCCCACCCCTCCTCCCCAGGTGGGTGCCAGAGGCCTCCAGGCCCCAGAGCAGCATCATGAGCCTGGACAGATGGGCAGAGGCCCCTCAACCAGGGGAGCCAAGAAGGGAGAACCAAGGTGGGGAAGAGCTGGGCGGCCGCCTAGCCCCACTGATACACAGTCTGAGAAGTACGTCTGTTCTTGTTGCAGCTCCCTTCCAAGCCTCCCTCCTGCCTGGCTGGTACCCCCTGGTTCAGATTCTGGTAGGGTCCTGGAGAGAGGGGTGAGGAAGGGTTTGTTGGCCCAGGAGAGGACTGTGGCCCCCGGGTGGTCACAGAGGGTGAGAGATAAACTGGCTGGAGCTCTCCAGTCCTGGTGGGCCCATCCTGTGGGCCGTCAGAGCAGGCGAGGAAGCTGAGAGGGAGCCCCCTGATGGGTAGGGGGTAAATCCAGGCCACATACCCTCCCCCCACTTTTGCTCACAAGAGTGGTCTGGGGGCAGTTGTGGCCAGTGCTGGCTGGCTGCCGCTTCCAAGTTTTGGGGAGGTAGGGTGGGTAGGCCTCTAGTGCTCTAACTGTCCCACTCCCCCCACGCCTTGAGCCTCTGCAAGCCTGGGGGACGTCTTGGTGGGTCCAGGCTGGGGAGGTAGGTTCTGCCCTCCCCAGTTCCCACGTGTCTGGAGGGGCCACACCAGGCAAGAACACCCCTGCCCCCATCACACACACAATACACACGAAGGGGGAGGGGGCAGTATAGGGAGGGGTGTGGCCGTGGATAGTTGGGGCTCCAAGACACCAGCTGGGGGGTTTCCGGGCCAATTCTACAAGGAGAGGAGGAACGAGAGGGGCCGGCTCCCGCGTGGGTTTGCGTAGGTCCCTGGAGCATTCTTCTGGCGCCCTCTGGCGGGCGAAAGCCGCGCCGCACCTGGAGGGGGCGGGACGCGGGGCGGCCACAACCCCTGCCCCCTAGGGCCCTTGGGTGGGCTCTGGCTCGACCATCTTCCCGTCAGGGTGGTCGAGACGCAGGGACCGAGGTCACAGGTCCGGCAGCGGGGCTCCGCCTCCGCGCATATGCGTGCCTATGCTGAGCCCTGCCCTCCGAAGCAGCTTTCCGGTGGCTCCGCCCGCGGCCCAATTTCCAGGCGACTGTTTCCCGGCGACCGTGCGGGTGGGGCGGTCTTGTCCCCCACCCCCCACCCGCCAGCGCCGCGAGGCCCCGCCTCTGGTTCGGTGCGGGAGCCGGGCCTGTCTGGGGCTGGGACGGCGCGCACGGCTCGGGACGGGCCCGCAGAGGCAGAGGCATGGCACGCGGGGCCCATGGGGTAGGCAGCACCGCGGGTGGGCAACGTCCCTTCTCTGGGCCTCAGTTCCCGCGTCTGTAAAACTGGGGCGAGAGCAGGGCTTCAAGGCAATACCGCCTGTAAGTCCCTCCTGAAAGGCCGGCCCCCTGTGGGTCTGACCCGGTCGGTCTGGGGTCCGAACGCAGCGATGGACTCGCTGGCAGCGCCCCAGGACCGCCTGGTGGAGCAGCTGCTGTCACCGCGGACCCAGGCCCAGAGGCGGCTCAAGGTGTGTGTGGAGAGGGGAGTGGAATGTGGGTCAGCGTGTGTGTGTGTGCGCGCCTGCCGGGTCCCGGTCCCGAGGGCTCTGGGACATGACAGGGACCGGCAGGGCCAGGGTCCGCCTGGGTGGGCGCTGGGACACCGAGGGCGGGAGAGGCTCCGTGCCGCTGTCTATAAATAGCCCTTGCTCCGCCTTGGTAGCAGCAGCCAGCCACCCCCACGGCTGGATGGTGGCCAGATGGGGCCTCCCACCCCCTGGTACACTCAGGAGGGGTGAGTATTGAGGCCAGGGGGCTTCTCTCGCCTATGGAGGAGGGCCTTGGTTGTGTCTGAGGGGTCTAGGTCCTGGTGCCCTCTACCCACCACCCAAGGGAGGACCCAGCTGGGGCCTGCTACAGCCAGACATCCTAAACTCTGCACACCCAGACACATTCTCAGGTCCCTGCAAAGGCCCTCGCTGAGGCTGGGGCAAGGATGCCTGCCACCCCCTTACCTGCCTTCCCAGCTCCAGGCCTTTGCTCACAGGCCCTCACCCCATTTCTGCCATTGAAACTCCCCACCCAGGGGACTCTGCCCTCTGCTGCCTCCATGTCTGAGCCGGGTAGGGAACAGGGCACCAGACTGCCCCAGGAACCCAAGCATGCCGCTGACTTGCCCTGCCCCTGCCCCCAGGATATCGACAAGCAGTACGTGGGCTTCGCCACCCTGCCCAATCAGGTGCACCGGAAGTCTGTGAAGAAGGGCTTCGATTTCACGCTTATGGTGGCGGGTGAGTGGGCTGCACTCCCAGGTGGGGTGGCGTGGGCCATTAGCCAGCCAGGCTTTGTACAAGGGATCCCAGACTTAACCTGACTCTTTCACTGTACCTGTGGGCAGGTGAGTCAGGCCTGGGGAAGTCCACGCTGGTCCACAGCCTCTTCCTGACCGACTTGTACAAGGACCGGAAGCTGCTCAGTGCCGAGGGTGAGTGGGCTCTTTGCAGCCCTGGCATTGGATCCCCATCCTCTGCTGTGTGACCCTTCGAAAGAGTCCTTTCCAGGTCCAGACCCTGCTCTTCTCTCCCCACAGTGTGGGTCTCCTGTTTAGGGTCCAGGAGGAGTGGCCCAGACCACAGTCAGGCTATGTGGCCGGGGCTAAATACTAGAATGGATGAGAACAAGAGTCCTGGCTGCCCAGTGGGGGTGGGGCCTGAGTGTCAGAAAGACCCTTCCAACCAATGCCCCGGCATCCACAGAGCGCATCAGCCAGACCGTAGAGATCCTGAAGCACACAGTGGACATTGAGGAGAAGGGGGTCAAGCTGAAGCTCACCATCGTAGACACACCGGGCTTCGGGGATGCTGTCAACAACTCTGAGTGGTAAGGAAAGCCTGGCTGGGGAGCAGTCTGTGCCTAGGCTGACCCAGCCTCCCCTCTGGCCTCACGGTCCCTCCTGCCTGCCTGCAGCTGGAAGCCCATCACCGACTATGTGGACCAGCAGTTTGAACAGTATTTCCGTGACGAGAGCGGCCTCAACCGCAAGAACATCCAAGACAACCGTGTGCACTGCTGCCTCTACTTCATCTCCCCTTTTGGACATGGGTGTGTGAATGTCCTGGGAACAGGCTGGGGTGGGGGTGGGGGGCAGGACCCGCCTCCATGGTTCCCTGTTGGCTGTACCTGTCACTGCTTATCTTCTACCTGTGCCCTCACAACCATGCTCTCTCTGAGCCCATCCCACCCTCTCTCTGTGCCCCCCCACCCCCTCCATGCCCCTCTCCACCCCTGGATGCCCTCTCCAGGCTTCGGCCAGTGGATGTGGGTTTCATGAAGGCTCTGCACGAGAAGGTGAACATCGTGCCCCTCATCGCCAAAGCTGACTGTCTTGTCCCTAGTGAGATCCGGAAGCTGAAGGAGCGGGTGAGCCTGCTGTGTGTAGCAGCGGGGCCTGGGCTAGGTCTCTGGGACCCACAACACCAAGTGTGCTGATCCTGGGTGCCAGTGCGCCTGGCCCCTGGTCCCTGGCCAGCCTCAAATCTGACAGTGCTTTGCCTACCCCCCCGCCACAGATCCGGGAGGAGATTGACAAGTTTGGGATCCATGTGTACCAGTTCCCTGAATGCGACTCTGACGAGGATGAGGACTTCAAGCAGCAGGATCGGGAACTGAAGGTGAGCGGCCTGGGATGGCAGAGGAGGGAACTGGAGGTCAGTTTGCATGGTGCCAAGCTTCCAGGTCCAACCCCATAGGGGCAGGAGTCCTGTCTGGACATTTGAGCCTCTTGGGGGTGGAGGGTACAATCACCCATGTCCCCGCTGGTTTGTGCTGTTTGGGCCCCATGTGGTTGGTGTGTCATGGAGCACTTGCCAGGACCCAAAGGCACAGTCCTGGCCAGGCATCCCCCTGACCCTGCTCCTCACTCTTCTTCCAATGGGTCATGAGTGGAAGGGTCTGACCCAGCGGCCACAAGCCTCCGTGTGCTCTGGCTTCCAGAATTCTGAGCTCCAGAGGGTGGTTGTGGCTCTGGGTGCCCTGAGATTTAGAGTGGCAAAACCAAGTCCAGGGCACAGGACAGGCAGCCACTGGGCCAAAAGCAGGGTGGCGCCCTTGGCCCTGGCCAAAGTCAGCATCACTAATTGGAGGCATGGGCTCAGCTCTGGGGAGGGAGGGATGGTGAAGGTAGCTCGATGGAGCAGTTCCTGACAAGGGATGGTCTCAGAAGGGAAGGCTATGCCTGGCTGGGCACAACCTGGTAAAGGCCCCTAGGGTCTGAGCTGTGCCAGCTCTGGCTTCAGAGAAGCCACAAGGGTTGGGCAACTCCAGGATCTCTTTGGGGAGACGCTGTTGATAGTGATGCTGGAGGGGCAACCAGGTGTCGAGTGCCCGTGTCCCTCTTTAGCCGCTAACCCCACACTCATACTAACTGGGTGCGAGCCCTTGTACCTGCCCTCCCCAGGAGAGCGCGCCCTTCGCAGTTATCGGCAGCAACACAGTGGTGGAGGCCAAGGGGCAGCGGGTCCGGGGGCGACTGTACCCCTGGGGGATCGTGGAAGGTAAGTTCAGGCATGGGGCATGGCAGAGGGGCTGGGGCAGCTCCCTTGGGCCTATACCCACCCACCACCCGCTCCTGCCCCACAGTGGAGAACCAGGCACACTGCGACTTTGTGAAGCTTCGCAACATGCTCATCCGCACACATATGCATGATCTCAAGGACGTGACATGCGACGTGCACTACGAGAACTATCGCGCACACTGCATCCAGCAGATGACCAGGTGCGCAGCCCTGACCCGAACCTGGATCGTTTGCCTCCTGTTCCCAGCCACATCTCCCTAACAGAGGGCTGATCCTTGCTGCCTACCCAGATCTAACTTTGCCCCGACTCCCAAGTTGGCCCCCTACCCTGCATCTTGTCTTCCCAGAGCAGACCGAGGTGTGTGGGAGGTCAGGAGGGCAGAGCCTCGGTAGAGTTGGGGGTCAAACTGTCTTTCTCGTCCACCCCACAGCAAACTGACCCAGGACAGCCGTATGGAGAGCCCCATCCCCATCCTACCACTGCCTACTCCTGACGCTGAGACAGAAAAGCTCATCAGGATGAAGGATGAGGAGGTTAATGGGGCCACAGGGGAGGAGCAGGGGCTGAGGTGGGGTGGGGGTGGGGGTCCAGCCCCTCCTTTCATGATTCTCACCCCACTTTCCGCTATTCCCGCCTCACCTCCAGCTAAGGCGCATGCAGGAGATGCTGCAGAAGATGAAGCAGCAAATGCAGGACCAGTGACCCCAACCCAGCCCCACATTACCATGGATATATATACTGCCAGTTCTCAGGCTGGCCCTTCCCATCCCTGGACCCCAACTGGCCTGGACTCCACCCTGGAATAATCTGGATCTCCAACAGGCCTGGGCACAACCCCAGTCCCAGAATGGCCCAGACCAGGACTGTTCCCGACTGTTCCCGACCTGACCCAGAGATGCAGGCTCATAGCCCCCAGCCAACCCTAATTTATTCTCAGCACCAGTCCCTCCCCTCATTTGTATCTGCTTCCAAGGGGCCTGGACAGCAGCCCCCACAGCTGGCCCTCTTTGGCCTCTGGGGAACAGGAGCTAGGTTGGGCCATGACTTTTGAGATCTACCCCTGCCCCAGAAGGTCATGAACTCTCAGTCCAGGCCCTACTCAGGTGGGGGAGGGGGGGTGTAAAACAAGGCAGACTAGGGGAGCAGATCCCCGGCATCCCAGGCCTATTTTCCCACCCCAGTGCCACAGAGTGGACATGGGAGCCCTCGTGCCCCCTCCCTCAGGCCACCCAGCTTATGCTGAGGCCTCACTTTGTGCCGAGGTAACCAGTCCTTCCTTACCTCCTCACCCCTCACTGGGTAGCTCAGTGGCAGGTTGGGTAACAGAAGCACTTAGGATCCCTCCAGACGGAAGGAGGGCAGCTGGCTGCAGGCAAGGATCTCACGGGGCTGGCGGGGCTGGGACCCCTGTGATTGCCCATACTCCTCACCCAGGGCTGTGGCCTGGCCTGAGGGCTCCAGGAGCAGTGAGTGGGTGCTGGGCAACCTGGGAACCCCCCACCCCTAGACTGCCATTCCCTGCCTGTGGCTGGAGGTCCCTTCTCCCCAGCAGCACTGTTGCCCTGGGTTGCCTAGCCCATCCCTCCCCCACCCCCAGCATGATGCCCCCCACCCCCAATCCCAGTCTCCAGTTTTGTTCAGTTGTGAATGCTGCGTCCTGTCCTGGTGACAGGAGAACAATGTTGGTGAAGTCACGGCGGTGTCCGAGTGATCCATGGGAGTTTGTGGCGGCGGAAACCCTGGTGGCCCACGAGCCCTGGTGATAGCGCTCTATCTGGGGCCGCAGCGCCTGTCTGCTGGGCCTCCGGGTTATTTCTGGCGGGTGGCTGTGCTGTGGTCGGTTTGGCCGGGGTGCTGAGGACTGGCAGGGCGGGGCGGCCTTATCGCTTGGCTCTCCAGCCAACGCTTAGCGCTGCAGAAGAAGCCGGGTCACCATCCTCTCGCCATGGGCTCCGGTGAGTTTGGGGTCAGGCAGGCCCAACTGCTCTCCTTGAGCAGAGTCGTGTTCGGAGGGGCTGCAGTCGTTTGGGTACAGTAGGGAGATTTGGGTCGGACTTCAAGGGGAGTTCCAGTCAGCGCGCGAATGGTCGAGGTGGAGAGGCTTTGGGGCACCGGGTGCACAGGATCCCGCCCAGGTGCCACACAGGCCACCAGTCTCACTGCGGCGCTTCCCTTGCAGGGCTGCGCCGGGCGCTGAGCCTGCTGCTCTTGCTGCTAGCGCAGCCCAGCCGCCTGGCCGCGGGCTGCCCCGCGCCGTGTGGCTGCGCGGGGACGCGCGTGGATTGCGGGCGCCGCGGGCTGACACAGGCCTCGCTGCCCACCGCCTTCCCGCCGGACACGACCGAACTGGTGCTGACGGGCAACAATCTGACGGCGCTGCCGCCGGGGCTGCTGGACTCGCTGCCCTTGCTGAGCACCGCGTACCTGGACGGCAACCCCTGGCGCTGCGACTGTCACCTGGTGCCGCTGCGCGCCTGGTTGGCCGACCGGCCCGAGCGCGCGCCCTACCGCGACCTGCGCTGCGCCGCGCCCCGCGCGCTGCGTGGCCGCCTGCTGCTGTACCTGGCGGAGGAAGAGCTGCGCGCCGCCTGTGGGCCGGGCGCGCTCTGCTGGGGGGCGCTGGCAGCGCAGCTCCTGCTGCTCGGCCTCGGGCTGCTGCACGCGCTGCTGCTGCTGCTGCTGCTGTGCCGCCTGCGCAGGCTGCGCGCCCGCGCCCGCGCCCGCGCCACGTACCCGTTGTCGCCGACCACCCCGCTGGTGGGGGAGACGGCCGGAGCCAGAGAGTTCTAAGAGCAGCCCTGAGAGGCGCCGAGCGACGCGGGCGTGCAAGCCCGACAGGACCCTGCCCCAAGGAGCCCTCGCGCTAACCCGGACGGGGGCTCATCCTCCGCCTGGGCACACTCTTCCGGACCACACCAACCCCTGCGGGCCCCGGGCCACGCGCGCCCCTCTGCAGCGAGACGAGCCAAAGCCCCGGACGCTGAGGCAGGTCGAGGGGGTGAGCTGCAGCCCAGCCCCTGGGAGGCTGCCCACACCAAACTCCAGTGCAGAATAAACCCTTCTCCCGACCTGACTGGTCTCTGTGGCCCACCACCCGGAAATTCCCCTCCCCAAACTGCAGGGAAAGCCCTAGGAGGTGATTCAAGGAGGTGCATCACGTCTTCCTACACCCAAAATAACCTCCGGGCAAACACGGGGTCAGCCAGTGAACTCTCCCAGACCACTCACTGACAGAAGTTCAAGTGGAAGGCACAGAAGAATTCAGACAGTGACCACATTATACAGTAGTGAAGACACTGTGGGGACAATTGAAAACAGTGCGGAGACAGTGAGGACACTGAGGGCACTGCAGGGCAGTGTGGTTGAGAGCAAGAGAGAGAGGATGTTTGGAGTAGCAGTCTCGGGGGGTCAGTGAGGGGCCATGAGGAGGCTCTGAGGGCTCTTTGGAGCACGGATGGGCAGCTTTCAGGGCAGTCGGGTGGATCCAGGGTGGTGAGGATAATCTGATGACCTACCTGGAACTCCCTGGGCATCTGAATTAGAAGCACGGCCTCTGGAGAATACGTGAGGTAGGTCCCTGCAGGGGTGAGTGGGTACCAGGGGGCTGCACAGTGTCTGGAATCATGTTCTGCACTTGACCACCACTTCCCACAGGAAGGTGCCTCTGACCGCCCAGACCGGCCTTAGTCCCTGGCCTCCCCCCTCCCACCCCTGACCTCAGGCTGAGCAGCCAGGGCCTGGGGCTCCTCCAGGGTGCCGCACTGTGGTACAAGCTGCTAACAAGGGACCCAGGGTGCCCAAATGAAGGGCTACGCTTTCCTCAGTATTGGAGTCCCAGTCCTGCCCTAGGTGTGGCCTCCACCTGGCTGGCCTGTAAACAATGAAGGCTGCTCTCCATGGACCCCAGACAGGATTGTGACAAGAAGCCTCAGGCCTGGGCCTGGGGCGCCTGGCACAGGAAGGCTCTGGCCCCCATTGACCGGGTCGGGGAGGCTGCCGCTGACATGGCCTTTGTCCCAGTCTTTGTGGGACAAGATGGATGGCTCTCTGGTTGGGCTGATGCTATCTCAGGGCTGCCGGTCAGACGTGAGGCAGGAGCCACCCCCTCCTTTGTGGGCAGGTGCAGGGCATCCGGCCCATTGTGGGCTGTGGCCAACTGTCCATCCGTCCATCCGGCCTTATCACCACATCGGGGTGGCCCCTTTTGTACAAATGAACTGCCACCCTCCCCACCCCCAGGGATGGCCCAGCACACCCAGAGCCCCTGGTGGGGGTCAGAGGTACTAGTCTTTGTCACAGCAAGGTACACAGGCAGCCTCCTAACTCAGTCCCAACATGGTACAGGGAGGGGATGTTCCCCTCACTTTCCAGAGGAGGAAACCAGATGCCAGAGAGGGGTCTTCCTGCTGGGCCTGAGCTTTCTCCATGCTGCACTGGAAGCAGAGCCCCTAGGACTCCTCTCTTTTCCTCCTCACCTGGGCCTTCAGGGAACAAATGTAGGGCTCAAGAGAAAATGGCCTGGGGGTCTTAGGTGACCCCAAGCTAAGAGAAGCCCCCCCCCCCCCACCAGGCTGTGAGCCCAGGCTCCAGCAGACACCTTGGGGAGGGGTCAGCAGAAGCCAAGGTCCAATGTCCACAAGTTTGAGGGCTTCTGGGCCAGTGTCCCTCTGCGAGTGTGGGCACAGGAGCCCTGAGAGCCCAGAGCAGCAAAGCAGCCAGAGCTCCTCTGATGTAGGAAAGAGGCTGGCGTCATAGTCTGGTCAGACCTAAGGAAGAACTTCCTTACTCTCTGGGAATCAGGGCAGCTGAATTCCATGGTTCCTCCAAGACTTTTTCTCTTTTGCCAGTTCTCCATGATTTAGGTTGGCTTCTGCCAAGGTACTGACCACAGAGGGTGCTGGCCTGGCTTCATGCGAATCTTTTCCAGGCTGCCTGGGAGTCCCCAGTCCCAACTTCTGACCCTGAGCTGACCCTCCATGCATTGACCCTGGGGCCTCAGTCTCCAAGGAGTGTGGGGAAGTGGATGGTCCCAGCTCAGCGCCCCTGAATGGGGCCCTGGGCAGGGAGGGGGAGTGTACACCTCTACCCCCACCTCGGGGACCTACCATGCCCCTCCCCCCGTGTTGTTCTTCATCTGATGGACAACACACCTGCCCCAGGGGCTTTCCCCACTGACAGCCTGGTCCTCTCTGTGGTTTCAGACTCCTTCTCCTTCCAGATGGGAACAAAACGGTGACAACCCAAGGCGCTACCCATCCCCCCACACCTCCAGTCCCCAAGCTGGCTGATTCCGGGTCCCTTGCTACAGCCCAGGGGTCCTCTAACCACATCGCTGCCCACCCCCAGCCTCTCTGAACAAGCCCTGGCAGGGCCAGACGGCATTCCTGGGACAGATACAGCCGTGACCTCCCTCTGGTAGCCTTCATGGTCTTGTCTGTGAAATGGGTTTCTGCCTCCCCTGAGGACCTCTGGTCCCCAAATCAGGATCCAGTTCTCCCCTCACGTGCCGCGACCCAGAGAAGCCACCAGAGGGCGCTCGCAGCCTGCGGAAAACCGCCACGTGGGGCAAGGGCGGCGGAGGTGGGCACTGGGCGTGCAGACAACCAGGATCCTCGGAGAAACAGAGACCAGGAGCGCACGGATCTGCCCAGGCTCGTGGGGGTGGACCGCCGAGACGGCGGACAGGTCGCACTCCCCATGGGAACAGGGGAGGGTGCACAAAGTGGCCGCTAACAGGGAGGGGTGAGCGCGCCCCCTCTACTCCCCTCCCCTCCCTTCCCCTTCTCTCCCTTTCCCTCCCCGGGATCACTGACAGCCCATCAGCAGGGAAGATAAGGGACTTCTTCCGCCGGGCAGAGGGGGGGGTGTCAGCCTAGGTGGACCAGCCGCACTCCCGCCGCCTGTTTGCTCCGTAAACACTTATTGAGCCCCTGCTGTGTGCACCGCGGCAGGGCTGGAAGGAGCGGCTGCGTGGCCGGTGGCGTGGAGGGTGACCGGAAGGAGCCGTCCTCAGACGCGTCTGTGGAAGAAGCCGGTGGGGAAGGTGGAATGGGAGCCCCCGGGCTAGTGGAACAGACACTTTGCCACCTCTCGATCAACCTGGGGGCGAGGAGTGTGTGCGGGTCCTCCGTGGGCCCCCTCCTGCCTGGGGAGATGAAGGGGAGCTTGGGGGGCAGCGGCCCTTCACTGGGCGGAGACTTGAGTGGAGCCAGCGTGGACGAGGCCCTGGGAAGGTCTGGCGGGGGTGGGGTGGGGGGGACGAAGCCTTGGCCACGTTGGTGGGGGGGGTGCACCCGCCACCGCCCAGACAGAGCAACAACATTGGGGTGGGTGGTGGGGCCCTGGGGGCCCATAGCTCACCGCACCGTCTGCGCCCACCCCCGGCGTTTCCGATGGAAGACAAGCAGCAGGCGATAAATCACCGGCTCCCACTCCCACCCACCCAGGCTGCCTCGGGGAAGGGGGGGCTGCATGTGACAGAGACAGAGCCTGAAACAGAGACAGAGACAACCACAGAGAGACACAAAGGCAGCTATAGCTGGCCAGCTGACACTGGCCTGGTCCTTTTGCTCAAGGTATCTGGCCTCCCACCCCAAGGTGCTCCCTCCACCAGGCCCATCTGGAAACCAGCTGAGAGCCACCCCACCCCAAACGACCCCCAACAGGGAGGAGGAAGAGGGAGGGAGCAAGGCCTTAGCAGCCATAACTCTGTCCACCCTGGAGAACCATAAATCAGCAGGGGGCTCTCTGGAAGCACTCCCCCCACTAGGCTGAGGGGGGTCTTTGGGGTCACTGGTCCTGGTGACTGGGTCTGGCCTTAACTGTTGTGTCCCTCCCTCCTTAAACAGCCCCTGGGGGAATCCCCCAGGCCCACCTCTGTTTTTCCCCAGCACAGTCACATGCCCAGTGCTGTCTACACCCAGTGCTGTCTACACTGGATGCAACACTCTCCCCGTCCTCACCTTCTGTGTCCACAGTCAGGAAACGTCTGCAGAGGATGACGTCCTGTCCTATCAGGAGAACCCACGGGCTGGCCCTGCAGGATCTGGGGGTCAGGAGTCCTCCCCAGAGAAGTCCTCCCGGGGGACCTGCTTTGCCTCAGAGGAAATACTGTCTACCCCTCCTTCTGTCCTGCTTTCCCATCACCACCACCCCACAGGGTGCTGAGGGCCAGCTGGGCAAAGGATGCTGGGAGAAGGACCAGGTGGGGACCCCTCCACCACTGTGGACACTGCCTGGGGGGTCAGTACTCAGGGGGCAAAGCTTGAGAGAGCGTATGGGAGTATTCCCAAGACCTACGGAGTGTGCTCAGCACCCCCACTGCTCAGACCCCCAGTTCAGCCACTGGCCTCATGGATCCCTGCCCCAGTGGGTCTTTCCTGCTGACAACCCCTCACGGCTCTCAGCTTTCATGGCAGAAATAAAGCCACTTGCACACAAGGAAACAAACGTTCACCATGAACTCTTTCCAAGAGCAGAGGCTCTGGGGGCGTCCTTCAGAGCCCTTGGAATTCTGTGCCTGAGAGAAACCCTGGGTTTCATCATGTGGATGATCCTCTTGACCCTGAGAACAAACCTGAGTGCCCCAGCCCCGGAACATCAAAAGCACTGACTGGTATGTCGAGGGCAGGTGGTGGGGAGGGCCTCCTGGGGATGTTCAGGCTGAGGGAGCAGCACTGTGCTGCCCGGAGACGCCTGTCAGGGAGGGTAGAGAGAGTGCAGGGGCCAGAGGTGCCCTGGGCTCAGCCTGTAGGAGGGGGAGGGCAGAAGGGGCTCCAGATGTGCAAGGGGAGCGGCCGTCCAGTCATTCCCTGGTTCTGAAGCATTGTTCCCAGCAGTCTGTGGTCCCATTTGGAGGCCACCGTCGGCATGGTGAGGGGGGTTTGGGTGTGCAGTCCCTTGGACTCCAACCTTCACCTATCAGAGGCACCCACCCTCCTCACCACACGTGTCCTGGGGGGCGGTGCTCACCTCACCCTGTTTAAGAGTGTCAGACAAATTGAGGGGCTCTGGGCCAGACAGACGCTCATGTGGCAAGGGGTGTGGGACGGGAGGGCACCTTCAGCAA